AGATAGCAGCATGTGCATGCTTTTTGGGGTACCTTCCTGTCTTGGGAATGGAAGCTGGCCCCAAGCTGTAGGGTTTAATGGGTTTCTCTATGGCCTGTATTATCTCCAAACTGCTTAAAAATGTTTGCAAGGGTGCAGGGAAGACAGTGAGGCACATGGAGCAGCCCTCAAAGGTCTGTGGAGATCTGATTTCCAGAGAAAGACCACCAACAGGATCAACTCCATGTGGATCTGAAAGTAGATTATAACTCGCTCCTTTGACTCTGTCAGATAGTACACACAGGGAAATTACCCATGCTGTCCTCCTCTCTCCAAGCACCCACGGTGAATTCACTAATGCTGTGACCGGACATGAATGTGGTGCTGAGTGAAGTGATGACTGCTCAAGGAGAGACCACCAACTCACCTAGCTTTTGCCTTGGTTCCCTCTGAGGATTTGTAGCTCCTCTAAGTTTTCTATTTAATTTTTTGCAGCGGAAAAGCAACTTAAAAAAAATCAGGAAAAGGGCGTTTGGGAACAATTTCCTGACTTATTTGTTGGAATAGAAGGAGCCCTTGCTGGGTTGGGGGGACAACACGTTCTGACAGTTCTACTTACAAGTCCTGTTGCTAGCCAGACAAAGCAAGACTATGTTCACAAAGGGAGATCTCTGCTGTCTCATTATTTACACCCTGGAGGCATTAGATAGCTCTCGCTCTTCCAAGAACTCGCTGCTATGTGCCTACCTCCTTAGTCTGCAAGAAACAGTCTTATTGAGCCCTGAAAAAAAATGATGGCACCTTTCCAAGTTATGTCAACAGGTCACCCTGCTGGTGTGGACTGCGATCCCTCCACAGCGTGCATGTCAGCTGTTCCTTACTGGCTACAGGCGTTTCTGCTGTGTACCTCAGCTCCCTGAACCTTCTGCAAGATAGGAAATCACTTGCTACAAAGCACAGTCCTCAGTCAAATACAATGCTTGCCCCTTAAATTCCAATTTAAGTAATTCCTTAAATGCCTGGGGTTGGAAGGTACCTCTGGAGACTGTCTATTCCAAACCCTGGGCACCACTTTTAAGTGTCTGGCTCTGTTTTCTTTACACCCTGCCCCCATCAGATATTTATACACATTGATAAGATCTCCTCGAGTCTTCTCTTCTCCCAGCTAAACAACCCCAGCCCTCTAAGCACCTCCCTGTGTGGGAGATGCTCCAGTCCCTCAGTCATCTTTCTGGTCTTACACCGTACTTGCTCCAGTACGTCCATGTATCTCTGCAGTGGGAGGACAGTGCCACATGCCAGTGACAAGACCTTTGCAAATACCAAGGATGAGGCACCCGGGCATGGGAGTTGAATGCACTGCTCAAACACCCATGTCCCCATCCTGACTTCAGCAGCAGGACAAAGCATGCGGGGGTGGAGGGGGCTGGCACACAGTACCCTCGCAAATCCTCGTCAGTTAATGCCTCAGGGGCAGATCTGATCAGGTTCTCCAAGGCTCCCACCACAGTCTAGCAATAGCAGCTTACTCTTTGGGGCCGTTTGGAAATTTATTCTAAACATGTTGGTGGGGTCAGCCGTTAATCTTGCTGGCAGGCTCATTTCCATTTAAGCTCAATGAATGCCTCTGCGGGATATTCAGGAGACTGTTCTGCTTTCATCAAACCTTTACTTAAAACAGTACAGGATGAAAAAAGAAAATATGCCTTCCCTCTCCAGCAAGAGAGATCGATGACTGCAGACTGGGCTAGAATAAATTGGTGGTCTCAGTCCTGATGATTGCAGCAGAGAGCGGCCTGCTTGGGACAGGTCAGTGCTAAGTGCTAAGGCTGAATGAGATGCACATACCCTATGCCCTCCTCTCCAGGCTGGTCTCAGCAACCATTCACCATGAGACCTGCCACAGTAACCTGCACTTTTGTCGCAGCGGGAGATGGGGCCAGAGTTGAATTTTCAGCACCTATTGGAGCTGAAGGCAAAGCAAGTGCAAAGTGCAGCTTTTCCTGGCGTTTCCTGCAAAAGATGCCTCTATTAGCTATAGGTTATTTAAAGAACAAGCTCTGGGCTCTATCAAGGTGTCAACACTGAAAAGCAAAACCCAGCAGGATGTCCCTTACAGCCAGGGCTACTGCAAGTTAAGGAGCTGGCTGGTCACTCTCAGAAAAACGGTGCTAGCATTTCAAAGCCTCCTCCTATCTGCTTTAAAGAAGTTTCTCTTCCCTCTCATGAGAATCAGTCTTTTCTTTTCCCTTTTTCCGTCCTGATGTTTAGCAATTTAAATTACCCTGAGAGATCTGGAAGCTGTATCCTATATTGCTTTTCAATGTCTGCAGAGAAATGAATCCATCCCAGGCGAATGCTGTACCGGCTATGTCCAGGGCAGCATATCTTCCTGCCTCATCCCTCTTCCCCAGCTCCAGGAGCAGTTCTCACATCCAGCCCTTCAGTGCCACAGCACTGAACTCTGTTCAAAAGCTGATATGGAAGTGGAAGGACTTGTTCAGGACTGAAGAAACTATTCTCTCTGACCACACTGAAAAGATTGGTCTTTTGTGCTGGGCTAGAAAAAAATGCAAAGCCTATTTATTCATAGAGTCTGACTTTGCTTCACTGAGCTGATCTGGCTCTGTGTGCTCTTGAGCACACCAGTGGAAGGAAGATGAAACCATGTTTGCAGAAGCACTTTTCAGGTCATAAAATCCTGGTTTCAGGATTTTACCTTATTTGAACTTTCTGCTCCTGTGCGGTCCTTGCAGAGTAATGGGCTCAGGCATGTTACGCACTTGAAAACTGACAGGACGGGGAACTACATTGCATACGGCGGTAACTCAGGAGACCGCAAATCCTCAGCACAAGCTAGTTTATGGACTGGGTGTCAGTGAAGGAGTGAGGGAGAGGAATCAGCAAGGCAGTGTGGGCGTAGTGGGGTGAAACAACTTTCCTAGTGCCTGGCCACTACTAGCACAGCCTGGCCATGCAGGAGAAACTGGAGGATCTGAGCAGCACTGGATTATCAAGGTCCCAGGATTTCCTCTGGGAGCTGGACGGTGGATCCTGATCCACTGCAAAAGGCTGGAGCTGCTCTGTCACTCAACTTCCAGTGTTTGCATAGCAGCCAGAGCTGGTCTGTTCTGTAGCCCTTAGGCACCTTGACCAGCAGCACCAGGAACATGAGGGCTCAGACCCAAATCGGCTGCACAAATGCCCTGGAAAACATGGTGACTCCAGGGACAAACTGGGCCTCCATTTATCTCCATTACTGCTTTGGAGCAGGAGGGAAGAAACAGCAAATGTCTGAGCAGTCCCTGCTTGACTGTACAAGGTCTTGGTCTTTAAAATAGTCCGTCCACTGCTGTGCTTTTGTGGATGATCCCCTATAACAAGTGTTCAGCGTTTGTAACAAAAGGTACTTCGTTCCCAACCTGTTCTGCCGCCATCAAAATCCCCAGCAGCGAACCTGCCCTAATAAAACCCGTGGCTATGCCACGTTGGCTCCTTAACGGCCCCACAGTTGGAAGTGACATTTTCAATAGCATGCAAAACATTTCAAATGTAATTAGAGGAAGAGAAGAGCTTTGGGGAAAACAGAATCACTTATTTGCTTGACTCTGGCAGTTGTATAATTTAGTGTCATGTAGCGAAATGTATTCTCTTCCCAAGCATCCTCATCCAAAAGGGCAGTTAGTTGTCCATTTATCCTCCTTTCCAAAAGGGCCCTCGTAGATGCCTGAGTGATGTTGGACAGGGGTCCTCTGTGTACTCCTGCAAGGTCTTCACAGGACCATCTTGCCTTTTTCCCAAGCGATGCTAAAAAGACTGTGCTTTACTGATGTTAGACAGATGCACAAACATTTCCTGAGGCTTGGAGAAAGAGAGTGAGAAGAATCTAGTCTGGTGAGTTCACCACTCACCAGGCAGTTGGTCCTTCTCTTTGCTTTAGTGAATATTAACTATTCCTTGCAAAGTGAGAGCTGGTGGATCCAAGTGCTTGCTGGCAGGCCGGGGAGATGAACCACATCCAGGCTTGGAGACACACATCCCTGTAGAAGGGAAACTGTCTCCTCTCTCTGCCGCCACATGCATCTATTTTCCTCTCTTTAGTTTGGAGCAGGAAGCATTCACCAAATTTCATGCAAATTATTGTTTGGCAAATTGTCAGAAACGTCTATCTGTTTTGTGAGCTGTGTAGCAAATGCGAATAAGTGTTATTTCACATGCTGGGCGACCTGGCTGGCGTTCTCTGTAGCCATCCTATCTCTAGCACGTCTGCTTCAGTTTGGTTTTGAAAGCACTTGATGTCTGATCAGGGATAATAGTTGTCATTACTGGTGCTTATGTTCACATAGGAGTAAAAGAAAACTCATGCTCCGGATGTTGATGGCTCAGGCACCAGTGAAGACTTTCCACTGCCCAACCATTCACAGCTAGCAATTGGTACTGCTCAATGCTCTAGTAACATGATTTTTCCTTTTCTTCTCATATGTTCCTCTGAAATATAAAGTAATCACCATTGCAAAGATAGTTCATCAGCCTCACGCCCTCTGATGTTATTCATCTCTTGCCTGGTTAGATGACCATCCATCCTCATACCCCATCACATGAGACATTACCCAGAAAGTGGTGGGAGTTTCGATAGAAGTGTTAGATTGCTAGAAATGGTGCACTAAGTGTGAGGTGTTAAAATAATGGCATCTAGCTTTGCATCAGTACATCTCAAAACACTTTAAGAAGGGGAATATATTTTTATCCCTAATTTACATAAATGAAAATGAGATACAGGGATGTGATTTACGCAAGGTCATCCAGCAAGCCAGTGGCAGAATAAAAATAGATGCGTCTGTATCACTCTCCGTTAAGATCATGTTAGTTCACACAGCCACATTTCTCATCAGAGCTGACAGGCAATGAAATGCCTCTCACAACCTTTGACAAAGAAAAAGCTTAGCACTTGGGACAGTTTCAGAAAAAATGTCCCTCCTGCGTTGTCTATGCAACTTGTTCACTGCAGGATTTGACTTGAGTCAAAACCACCAATCAATTACTCTCAGGCGAAAAAACCCCGCATCTTACTGATTAACTGCTACTAAGTGCCAAAACACTTAACTGCTCAGAGTGAAGATATAGCAGTTGCTCAGAGGATATTCTTGTGATTGAAGCATATTTCATGTTTTATTGAGGCATACTTGATTCAAAAGCATTTCGCAAGGGTGCAGGATGATTTGTTGCCAAGAGGAGCGAAGGAGGCTCATAGCAAAGAGAAGATTTTACAGAACTGATAATTTTGCAGGTACTAGTGGCCTAGCGGGCTTCTTCACTCTGTAGTGAAGCATTCTGCAATTACAGGAGACAGCGAAGAAATGAATAACTCTACAAGGTTAGTACCGGGGTCTTTGTCTTTTCTTCAATGATGTCTCCTGCTTTCCTTGCTTATATCTTTTTCTTTTTCTTTTTCTTTTTTTTTCTCCCCTACTTCTTCTCAGCTCCAGACTGTGAGATCTCTGCTGCGTCTTCTGCTTGGGCTGCAATGCTGGTAGCATATATTTGTGATAGACAGACAGATGAGGGTAAGAAATCTGCTGCTGAAGAGAGAGGAAGGCGCACGGTGAGCTGGCCCAGTTCTACGGGGCTGCCCGGTGGGTCTGTGCTGGGGTCTCCTGAGGGGTGAAGGCTGGATTTGGGAAATCTGAAGGACTGAGAGGTCACAGCATGGGTGCTGGCATGTGGCACAAAGGTCTGCAGCTTGTATTGCCGCCTTTGCCTTGTCTGCGGCACTGACTGCAATCCGTGCAGGCCGATGCACGAGTCGAAGCCGTGCTCCTCTCCCCTGAGCCATCAAAGCAAAGAGGGTGGATGATGCCGGCTCCTCTCCTCGGGCAGGTTTACGTAGCTATTTCTCTTCCCCTCACTTTTTATTTAAAGCAGAAACTGTTCAACCAATCTGCCCCATGGATCTGTAGAGTTTATGATGCACTGAGCAGAGGGCTTAAAAAAGACCTGTTTTGGAAGCTCTTATAGCGGAGCAAATCCCTACAAAGGTCAGAGAAAGCAGATCTTTGGGTTTCTTTTAATAATTTATGCTCTGCTAGCATCCAAAAGGCTTGGAATCGTGTCTCTGAGTTGCAGAAACATGTCTCTGGAAATGCAAAATGCTGTGAGTTCAAGGCCTGGGCAATCTGAGATCAGATCCAAGATGCTGCTCCTTCAAAAAGCAGCTCCTTCAGAGGAAGAAAAGGGAAAACAAGGACATACTAATGTTCTTGAGTCGAGTCCAGCTCAAGAAAGGGGAATAAGATACTTTCTCCCTTGGAAGAGCCACCCAAAAGGATGCATGGGGGCGGTTAGGCTATTTAAGACTCAAATAGACAGTGCACTAGCAGTTGGTGTGATTGAGAGAAGGGCCCGGTTCAGGCAGAGAAGCAGTTGTACTGCATAACCTGGTTATTTACTTCTATCTTTTGCTTCTATAATAAGACAGAGAAGTCTGTTTTATGGGTAATTAGACTCTTCCTGGCTCCCCTTGGCTGATGGCAACTGAGATAATCAAGAATCTGAAATTAATGACTTTAGAAAAACTGTTTATTGTGTGGGCTCAAATCTATCCAGGCAGATGAAGAACTAAACCTAGATTTCCCACCTCGCCTTGTAGTGAGAAGAAAAAGGCAAAAAAAAAAAAAAAACCCAACACAAAATAAAACCACCTTTTATAGGTAAATCATTCAATTACTGAGATATCAAGAAACTTTTAACCATTCTTCCAGAATGGTGATTTAGTCCCTAAACCAGAGAAAAAATTGAGGCCTATATTTAGAAAGCCAGCCTTTGTACAGACCTACAGATACTGATCTTGAATAAATGTAGAAGTAAATGAACCGAGATATGAGAAAAATACATAGTGCCTTTCTGAGATCAGGAGATGGGGAGTCTAAAAGCCATTAAATTTGCTCTGGGAGTCTAAATATATTAGGTCAAACATCAGTATCTCAAAGTAAGCAGGGGCAGGAAAAAAGATATGGAGCAAAACTTAAACCTAAATTTCATTCACATCAATTTATTGTTACCAGATTTTGCCGGTGAGCTCTAAATATTTAAAAATCAGGAACAAGCTACGTGAAACTGCAGTTTCAACTCTATAGACTGCCTGTTTTCAAACGAATGCTGACTTCCTCCCTAAACAATTTTACTGAAGTCAGAGGAATTAAATGGAGGCTAAATTGCTCCTTTATATCGCATACAGAGGTGCCACTCAGCAGTTTTTGTGGGGAAAACGCCACCTCAAAACATTACAGTAAGACCATAAAACTGACACTCTGACATGCTTCTCCAGAAGAGACAAATGCAATGTTTACGGCTTGCACTACCTGACAGTCTTTCCCACTGCAATTACTGACTCTCCCACTCTGAATACCCCAACGCAGCCAAATTTCAGCGAAAGGATAAACAAAAGTGGGTTGTGACCTACTGGCAAACCCTCTGCAGTAAAACTTCCCTGAGGGTGGTCAGCTGGGGCTTTCCTGGAGCCCGTGGGCCAGATGTTGAGCTGCGTTTCATGGCAAACTAACCACCTTGGGCAAGTCATTTAAACGCATTTCATCTGGAAATGGAGACAGGCTGGTTGACTGATTGCTGGGACCAGGTCATGTTTGAAAAAGAAAAAAAGGAGACACGTAGGGGTTAGCTACTTCCTTAACTAGTCTTTGTGCTGTACTAGAAGCACCTAATGTGACTCAAAGCAGGCTGATGCTGCGATTCTGGCTGTTTATGAAGAAATTTTGGAAAAGGACATCATCCACGCTCCAAATATTCAGCATAGGAGGGGCAATGGGGTAGTAAAGTGAGAGGCTGGGTCTTCCACAGCATCAACAATCGTTTAGTAGCTCTAAAAAAGAGAAAAGTGAAGAAAGAATGATCAAGAGCTAACGCCTCAAGGCAATGGTAAAAATAAGTGCATTTTTGTTTAAAACCCAAAGTTCCCCAAGCATCTGATAAAAAACATGCATGATCCTCGACCCCTGAGCCTACTACTCCTTTCCAAAAAACAGAGCCAGGAATTTCTAACCAGTGGCACAGCCAATTTATATAAATTATATAGACAGAGCAGATATATATGCGAAGGACAGCTATAGCTCGGGATCCAAGCAGTAATAAATACTTTACCCACCCAAAAAACTGGCATGCTTCATTGCATGAAGTTTTAGATAGGATATGCCTTTCACATGACTAATGCAAGAACAACGAAGACAACATATGTTATGATTTAAAGTACAGTTATCCTTCTTACAGGGGGGAAAAACAAGTACATTTATGCTGAACAAAACCTGAGCACATTGTTTGTCCCAAGGCCTAACCCCACAGTCAGCTAGGTCTGCTAAAAGCCTTATTAACTATTATTTATAGATGAAAAACAGTGATATGAGGGAAATAAGGAAGGAGAATGTGAGGTTGCAATGTGTACTGTTATTCACAAATATGAACAATTTTCTCAGGCTCTGAACACAGGAATTACTATTTTAGCTGACCTGTGGTGACTATCCAGGTACCTACTCTTAGTTCACAGCAAATTTAAACTAATTGGGCCCATTTACCGCACAGCCTAGGGCTAAGCTCTGTTACCTCCCTTTGCCGCTAACCAAGAGCATTCAGCTAGCATTTCCCACAGCTCAGCCGCAGGATGGTAACTCCCTAACCTGCAGCAACAAACTCATCAGTGGCGTGGAAAAAGTGAATCATGATGACTTGTGCAAGAGGGAAAGGGCACCAAAACTGCATGTAGGAGCCCCATGCAAGACAAACAGGAGTTGTTCTTCACACAGCAGGGAGAAGACCTGTAGAACCATTGCCATGGGACGTTGCGGATGCCAAACGTCTACCCGAGAGTCTGGGCAAGCACTTGGATGAGAAAATCCATGGAAAGTTACTTAGTAGGCAAAAATGACATTCAGTTTCGGAAATCCCCTGAGCTACAAGCAGTGAGGCAGAGAGGACTGCAAAAGGATTATTATATCTGCTTGCTCAGTTCTTTGTCTTCCTCAGGCATCCAATTATGGCTGCTGGTGGAAACAGCCACTGGCCTTGACAGACCCTTGGTCTAACCCAGTTCTCATATTCTTAAGATCCAGCCTGTTCATGTGCCTGAGCCCTAAGGATCAGCTCTGCATCTGATGGGCATGTTTCATTCTGTTAGCACGACCCATCGCTGGGGAGCTGCAAGGTCTCCTAAGGAAAATGTTCTTTTTATAGTGCTTTTAATTGGTAATATATTTGGAAATGAATGCGCAAGTCCGTGTTGATCACTTGCTGATCTCAGAATGACATCCAAACCTCACTTGCAGCTGCAGAGGTGCCTTTTTGCTAAGCTAAAACTCAGGTGGATATTTGGTAGCACTTTTCATTTCAGCATCCTAAATCCAAATTCAAAGAAAAGGGGCTTAGGCAACTAAAATCAAAACTAAGTAAAATCAGCTCCCTTACTGTATTCAGTACCAGCTGTATAACTTGAAGTCACAAATTGTCCTATGTCGTAGAAGTGAAGAAATACGGGCCCAAACCTTGCAGTAACTTGGAATAAACAATAACAAAGCCAGGTTAGATGGATGGTCGTATTTCCATTATTTCACAACAGTCAGAGATTACAGTGAGTTTTCATCTTTTTTTCCAGATAACAATAAGGAAGCAAAATTCCCGTGGAAGAGTCTGATACAAAGATAGCATCTTACATTAATACTGTGTGAGCTGCAGGCTTGCCCACCTGCCACAACGCGGAGCAGTCAATAAGAGGATTGCCGGGGCATGTTTATACTGCAGTGTAACCTCAACCCAGCTATAAGCCATCTACTTCAGCGTGGACAGCAGTCCAGCCAGAGAAGGACTGGGCAGTCCTGCTGCAAATCCTCCCAGGACTTTGCATAAACACTGCTGCCCAAATCACCTAGCTAATACCAACTCAGGTGGGCCTATGGGAGCTATCAAGCTTCACCTTTGGGCTGCAGCAAGGGCCTGACGTTATCAATAGATTGACTGTTAATGGAGGATCATCTCTTTTAGATGAAGTCTGAAAGAGACAGGGCAGGAGTGAGATGAAATATCCTGACAGCAGTGCAGGTGAGGCATTTGTCACAAGATGCTACTTGGTACCCGAATAACAGCACAAATAACTGCTACCATTTATGAAACCGGGAACGGTGTCCGGCAGCAGGGAAATGACAGAATCTCTCTCGGCAGGGCACTGCACACTCACCATATGATGGAGTGATTCTAATAAAGACAGGCACAGATCTTGATTTCTGTCTTCTAAAGCTCACTGCACAATGCCAGGCTGCATTACCCTGTGTGTCAGCGTCAGGTTGATAGTGTCAAATTGCTCGGAGAGCGCCATAGTGGCCTGTGACAAACGTACTGCACTGATAGAGTTGCTGTGTTGGGAAAATGGGCTGGATGCCTGTGCTTAGGAGGAGTTACCATTATCTGTCCTGCAGTGGTGGCTATAAGCTCTGATCAAAGCTATTAAAGCAGATCCTACACCAGCAGGCATGGAGACGGTCTCATGCCTGAAGAGAATATGTCTGTTCAGACAAGCCGAGACACAGGAGGGCAAGCAAAATGCTTGAAGTTAACCAAGGCTGCAGCAGGGCTGAGAGCAGTGTCCTCAGCCTGCACCAGTTCCATGGATGTGGCTGCCTTTGCTAAAGTGCAAGCCTTGTCCCAATCTCTCCCACCCTACTCGTGTCACTGCACTGACCTTTGTTGTCATGCCAGATTCGCACTTTGCAGAGATCTCCCAGGCTCAGCATGTCAGGGAAGGTGAATTCGTCCATCTGGTTCCTCTCAAACTTGTTAGACTTGTTGGACTCCTTCAGAGCGAGGGTCCCGCTGTCTCCGTTCTCTCCAAACAGAATCAGGGACACGTTGGCATCGGTACCTGCTCCTGGAAGGAGAGAGCAGAGCGTACTGTCGTGAGCTACCCTGCCAGATAGGACTGACACCCAGCCACCAAATGTACGGAAATGGCGGCAGCAGAAGCAGGCTGCAGGTGGCTGCAGTAATGTCCAGGTTCCTCTGGGCACACCCAGTGGATAACAGCGCATCAGTGCAGGAACCTGCAAGGAGGACTCCTCGTGGTAGCTAACAAGACAGCCCTTCCAGCCCATCTCTCTAAACAGCTGGAATGCTTTGCCCTTGCATTCAAGGTATGGTGACCATGATGATAACAATACTTATAAGTATCTACTCCTGACATAGCCCTGTGCATCACACTGCTTTACAGAGGATGTCAGCGTCATGATTCTTATTTTCCAAGGATGTCTTGGGAAGCACAGTGATTTGTACACCACCATCCAGCCATCTATGGAAGAGCATTAAAGCATCCACTGTCCTAGGCTTCCCACCGGGTCACAGACAACTCAAGCACTGCCACAGTCAGTTTTCCAGAATGTGGTCTCCCTCTGCATACTTGTCGTGGTCCCACAACCTCCCCCAGGTTGTCCTGTTGTGTCCAGGACGCTTCAGCTGTGGTCTGCCTTGTGCTGCTCCCCCTCCTGTGCGAGGCACAGGAGTTTGAAGGCAGAGTAGAGTGCAGATGATGAGCCAAACTAGAGCAGCATCATGTGGACCTTTCTCCTCAGACCCTTCCCATGGGTCTTCTTTCTATTATACCTGATGCTCAAAATATTGTCCATGTTACATTTATGAAAAAGTCCCAAATTCTCGTACAACAGCTTGCCCTACCAACTCCCACCCTGCCTCATGTACGTGCTTGGAAAAGAAGCATTTCCAAGGTGATCTTTGCTACCTGATATTGAATTTCATATGCCCATGACAGCTCAAGTTTTGTGGCAGAAACAGTCATGTTGTCATTTTTCCATACTTTTGGAGAGTTCAAGGCTGTACCATCACCTGCAATGACCTTATGAACATTTTAGCTAAAGGGGTCACAATGATTTTACTTGCAATGTTTATAATTTGACCAGAATTATGAAGTCTCTCCTCATTGCTTTTTATTTTTGATGGCGTAATAAAAGAGCAGATTCATAGAAGGAAATTTGATTCCATATGCGCAGACATTTATTGCTGTGTCAGAAGCGAGGTCCTTGAATTCTGGCAAATGAAAACAAGATCATCAAACCCAAATCTGGCTTACAAAGAAACTCAGTGTCTGCTGCCCCTGGTTAGATATCCCAGCTTTGAAAATGCTAGCTGCCTGCCAAGCCGTTTCTTATACAACAGTATCATAAATCCATTTTGGGCCACACGGACAGTATTTCCCACAGCTCCATTCACAACGCAATGCGGAGGCAAAGACAGGGAGGACTGAAAACTTTTTGGGAAAATCACCACTTCTTCAGGATAATTATTTGAATACAGAAATTAGGAAGAAATCACATCCCTCCTTATAGAAGGACCAAGAAAACAGTAAAAGAAAAAAAAAAAGAGGAAAAAAAAGAGCCATACAGAGAAAAGGTAAAGCAACATTTGGTGTCCACATGAAAAATTGCCTGTGTTAAATTGAGGCTAATTTTCAGCAGGTCCCTGGGAAGAACTTAAGAAGGAAGAGAAAGCATCAGGGATTCAGGCAGTTCATCTGGCCGTACCTTTTATGACCCTAAAGCTTGCTGAGGTGAGGAACAAAGCAAACTAAAGTCCATTTTCTTACAAGGAGCAGGCTCCCAATTAATGCAAGGTCTCAAAAAGCAAAGAACCAACTGTTTCTGAGCAAAACCTTCCCGGCAGGAAGAAGCTTATGAAGGCCTCACGCCGTGACATTTCCCTCACAAGCAATTAGCGGGAGATGGGAAAGAAAAGTACAGAAATTGCTGAATCAATGTACATTTCACCTGTCTAGGTCTTTTTTTTTTTTTTTTTAATTCAAGGAAACTGTCAAGCACATTTAGGAACTGTAACAAATTTGACAAATGAAGGGCTGAAGGCACTGTTATTGCACAAGCCCTGGCTAGCAATGAGGGCAATCTCAGTGGCCTCAGTACTGGGGTCTGTACCATTGGATGCCTTCATTGACACCCTAAACGATGACAGAGAGTGCATGCTAAGCAGATTTGCAGATGACACAAAATTTGCGGGAGTGATAGACACAGTGAATAGCAGAGTTTCAACCCAGGTGGACCCTGAGAAACTTGAGGACTGGGCAAACAGAGACTTCATGAAGCTCAACAAGGAGAAGTGCAAAGTGCTGCACCTGGGGTGGAGTAACCCCTGCACCTGGGCAGGACCCAGAAGTTATAGCAGCAGCATTCACAATTAGGTTGAATCTAAGCTAATAGTGAGCTCTTGCTGTGTGATCAGTGCAGACCACATATCGGGCTATGTCAGGAGGAGCACGGTCAGCAGCTGAAGGGAAGATGGTATGCCCTTTGCTGAGCGCTGGGGTGGCCTCACTTAGGCCATTGCACCAGTCTGTGCAATGTCAAGTGGGATGTGGAGACACTGGGAAGGGCCCAGCAGATACCTGCTAAAATGGGCAGGGGCTGAGGCATTCAGCCAAAGGAAGAAGTCGAGGGAGCTGGGCTGGGGCAGGTGGGCAAGGGGGAGGCCCGCAGTCAAGCCGTGGGAGCAATAACGATGGCAAAGCCACACATGGTGGAGGTGCTGGACCACACACTAGCCACAAATTGCATCAGGTTGGGCATCAGGAAAAAAAATCTTTCCTACGAAAATGGTGCAGCCATGGAGCAGGTATCCAGGGAAGAGGTGGCACCATCGTCCCTGAAGGTGTTCAAGACTTGGCTGGGCAAAGCCATGGCTAATCTGACTTAGCGCTGGCAACTGCTCTTTGAGCAGCAAGCTGGAGGAAATAATCTCTCGAGGCCCCTTTCAACCAAAGTGTCTAAGATTTTACAGTTCTTACTGAGCAGACGTATCATTTTTTTAGCCAAACTACAAGTTTGAATCATAGCCCTCTGAGGCCAAAGAATGTCCTTCTTTCGACTTAATAGAGACTTGGATAGGCCACTAGGCACTGACACCGACTGTCTTAAATTATGTAATTTGTAGGCTGTAGCTGAGCTGACAACATACTAATTAATCTTATAACCAGAGAGATAAAAACCTCCTGCTTCGTTAATGCTTGTAAAATGAGAAAGCAGTATTTATTCTTTCTCAATCTTTATTGCATTGTCATGTATATGATGCCTGCATGCAGAATACAAAAAGGCAGTGTGAATCAAAATTAAAAGACAAGGATATTTTCGTGCCACAGAAAGCGCTGTTACGTACTCTCGTTCCCTTGTAACTCTGTCTGTGAGTCACGCTTTGAAGAAAGTAAATTCGTGCTTTATTTTTCTTTTCCGGGCTAAAATAAATTAAAGTTTTGGTTTGAACCAAAGATTCCCCACCTGTCTTGGGATGAGTCTGCCTTAACAATCTCTTTTCCCCTTAGCCGGTGTATTCTGAGAGCTGACATCTGAGGTACGTCTGGTAGCCTTTAGATCTGATCTTTGAAAGAGTGGAATCAGTCCGTTTGCACGAGAAGGTACTTTCTCTGATACAACCTCTGTATATTATGTGATCATCTAGGTTGGAAGATTTCTGGAAAGTCAAACTGTAACTCAAAGCTTTTTTGAGGAAAAGTGAAATAGAACTATTCTTAAGCGTGTGGGGAGAAAGAGGAGGGAATGACTACTGCTTTCTAATTTACTGTAGAACAGTTTTGCTGGGATTCATTTTCCCTAACTTTTATCACCTAGTTTAATTGTCCTAGCTCTGCCTGGCTTGGAGGGAGGAACAGGGGAGGTCCTGCAGAGGATGATCCAGCCCAGATTAAGACTCTTTTCTTGGATGAATTGATTAGACAGAGCCTAGACTAGAAGGAGTTTAGACCAGAAGTACAATTTTTTTGGAGGGTGACAAATAGGTGAGATGAATCCTACTCTATGTTTTTGGGTTTTTTTTTCAATGCCTCTGATGCACTGGAAAGTTCAAAGCTATTGCAGAGAAAAACTTTATACATAGAAATAAACACGGCTGACTATTCACATTGGAGTATTGCTCTCCCTAGACAATATCAGTGCGACAAGAGTTGATATAACATGTTTTAAAATAACTGTCAAGGATAAAAGGCCTTTCTTTCCTGAAGTGGTCCAACTGGGAGTGATCATGGAACATATAGTGATCAAAGCGGGGAGATGGTTCATGACTTGTACCCTCTTTTAGAGAAACTGGATGAAGTTCAGCATTATGCCAGGGTGCCGTAGGATCTAATCATAAACAGACCCTGAGAAACCTCTCCGTAATCTGTTCTTTCCTACTGGTTGTCGCGGCTCATAATGAAATAAAATGCCTCATCATTAATACCCATCATCCTTCATTCAATGGGAAGGGCAGATCTGTCTGCTGTTGCTGTCATTTTCTATTCTCCTCTCATTTCTATTTCCATTGCCTTTGAGTTAGGGCTGAATTTCACAAAAAGGTCACTGAAAGATCTACCACTATACTAGATGGATTGCCAGATACATAAACAAATCCTCCTTTCTCTTTTTTGTTTTTAGTATTTCACGACATGCTGTTTCAGACAAGCAGCAGGCGGCGCAGATAAAAAGTGGTGAGGTGGCCCTAAGATACTTTGCCAGGGGAAATTTGATATTCTCATCTCAAACCTCACAAGCTGCAAAAATTACCACTGGTAAATCAAGAAAGAGAGGTGAAGATCAGAAGGTGATATGCATGCTGGTGC